TAAATGGTAGTTCCCTCTCTCGATCTTCCGCTTTTCGAGTTTCACATCGGATTCGGTGGGAAATCTGATTTTTCACACCCCCCCACTTTTCGTTTGCTTTTTACATTGGGAATTACATTTTGGGCCCATGTAAATATGGGGTTATCGATTGCAAGGTGAGTCAGATTCGCACTCTCGAGAATTAACTGAGCATATTTCTTTTTGTTGGTACACAAATTTCTTGTATTGGAATTTGATAATCTAAACTTATCTTTTTTGGTGTAAATGGATTTCTACTTATGTTGCGTTTGTTTGAGGAAAAGTGTTTTGCGAAAATCCGCTTTCCAGACTTTCTTCCGTTTGGTTTGCCGAAAATGGTAAATTAATTTAAAACACTTTCCGGTTAACGAAAACATTAATGTATAAAATTAGAAAAGTGAATTCCCTAATATAAGATTGTGAAAATACTTTCCGATCAAGGAAAATATTAATGTATAAAATTAGGAAAGTGAATTCTCTAATATAAGAAGGTGAAAATACTTTCTGGAATTACTCATTATGAATTTGTTAATATTTTTTCTTTTCTTTTCTTTTTCTTTTTCCTTCTTCCTCGCTCCGCCGCTCGCCAGCCATTGCCAGCCACAAGCGCAAGCCGGCGAGGCTAAGCTTACCAGCCTACACCTAGGACCATCAAAGCCGGGCCTAAACCCCTTGCGCCTGTACTTGATGCTCCGGCACCCGAACTCGGGTTTACAAAAGCCATGCTCGGTCCTTGATGCTTGAGCTCTAGTCGGGTTCACAAAAATCGTGCGTTGGTCCTTGATTAATGAAATTATTCTTATAAAATATATATATTTTTAAAATCGAATTGTTAATTATTTTTTATTTAAAAAAATCAAATTTTTTATTATTTTTAATCTTTTCTTCTCTTTTCTTTTTTTCTTTATTTTTCTTTTTTTCTTTCTTTTCGTTCCTCAGCCGACTGGCAGCCCAACGAGCTCGAGGCTCAACTAAGGCCAGCGAGCTCGAGGCTCAGCCGATCCAAGCAAGCCACGAGCTCGCTGGCCTCGGCTCAAGCTTGAGGTCGATCTAGCGAGAGAAGCTCGCCGCGGCCTCGCTAGATCCCGGCGAGTTCGAGCTCGCCTGAGGTCGAGGATGAGGTGGCTGAGGTGGATGGAGTCAGCACAGAGGGAGGCGAGGTCGTCGGAGATGGCTGTGGTGGTGGAGAGGAGGAAGGAGCAGCGGTTGAGGTGGAGTGGCGGATGTGAGGAAGAAGAAGGAAAGAGAAAAAAGAGAAAAAATAATTTAAAATAACTTAAAAATATATAAATTTTTTTGATAATTTTCACCATTAAATTTTTCTCATCAAACAACTAAAAATACTTTCAAGTCTTTTTTAGGTTTTAGCCAAATACCGAAAAATGAACACATTTTCCTAAAAAATGACTTCCAAAAAAGTATTTTTTCAAAAATGGTACATTTTCTGCGAAATAAACGCATCTTAATGTGAAAACTTAGCATGAGTTTCTTATCCCTTCGGAAAATAGAAGAGAGATTCAGTCTTATTTTTTCGAGTTTTAATCATGATTTTGGAGTTTTGCTTTGGATCTGAGGAAAAATTTTCACAATGCATATTGCATGTGCCCCCAATGCAGCATTAGTTCTACAAGAGAAAAAAAATTATGAAAGAAAAATAAAAACAAGGAATATCGATTCGGTTTGGTCAATTTGGTTCCGTACAAGGAACTGGAAACTAAATCGTATCCATGTTTGGTTCAGCTTTCCCAACGAGCTTTGAGCCCCTAAAGTCCCTTGGAGAAAATATGATGTGTTTGGCAAGTGTTTTTGAGACCCCATTGGTCAAATGCTAATAAGCTGAAAGCCCAACGCAAATAGAGACCTGCCTTGGCTTTCAGCATTTTTGGAATGCTATCGTGAGGGTTTAATGACTTTTGTTTTCTTTTCAATATTATCCTCATTGATAATTACGTGTTCTACTTTTGCCCTAAAAAATACTGTTCATCTTCTTCATTGTGCTCGCTGGTTTGTCATTAAGGTTGAGGTCCAGGTCGAGGTTGCTTGCCGTCGAGGTTGAGGGTCACATATGTCGTCAAGCCGCTGTCTTCGCAGAAGCTACTGTCTTGGCTTGAGCTGCTGTGGGTCGAGGTCGAGGTCGAGATCAAGGGTCGATCGACCCAAATCTGGCCCTTTGAACATGGTCGTGCGACCTCTACATACATCCTCGGCGACCATCGCCTAGGTTGCAAATGGTCGAAGGGCCTGAATGGTCTGTGAGACGGTCGCCGGTGAAGCTCTAACGTTACAAATCTCCAAATCAAAAGACCCTAGTTACGACGTTGCAAATTGCCGATGAAGCCTCTCCACCTTGCAGAGGTCGCCTGACCCCAACGATTGCCTCATCTGGGTTCGCGCGACCTCAGCCAATGGTCGCCTTTGGTAGCCGTCGATGCTCGTTTATGGTCAATGCTGGAAAAGCTCGCTCAGTCCCTGCCTCTGCCAATGCTCGCCTAGATTTGCTTTTCTTTTTATTTTTCTTTTCATTTCGAAGTTCTTTACAAAAAATACACCAAAATGAGTTACCGAAATACTATTGCTTTCACCAAATGCCCCTTCATTTGATTACAAATTTCGAGCTCACCTCTACATACAAGGGCTAACATAAGTATATTTTAGGGCCAATGACAATGGTAGTATTTGAGTTTTTCCTCATTGTCCAATATATTCCCTAAGTTTCTTTTTATTTTAGTGTAGTCCTTCCATTAAAATTTAATAAAATTTGTTGACATGCCGTAAAAATTACTAATCAATCATTTTTTGTTCAATTTTGTTCTTAAACTTTATTTATATGTCCAATTTCCTATTTAAATTATTATATTTAGGTTCATTCTCTCTATTAGCCTTCGCTTGAGTATGGTGAGGATCATCATATTTTCGATAAGATAAACCGAAACAAACTCATCGCGCTTGTAACTCGATTTGTTGAGCAATTTAAAATGTTCCTTGTGTTAAATTGACGTGTTTATTTACATTTCCTTACAATATTTTAAACACAAGACAATTGATGGCGACTCGTCTCTACTTTTCAATTCACGTATTTGATGTGTGTAGTAGACAACTTGAACGCAAGACTTGGAAAGGTTCTAGGATCCAGGGAGCTGTGATGGAGTTAAATGCGACTTGTAAGATTCAAGGGGCTACGTAAGCAATTACTGGTTGGTGTACCTATCGAAATAGCTTTGAATATGATTAGTAACTCTTACCACATGAATGTAACAACTTTAAGTTCTTTTTGTCTCGTGAAAAATAAATAATTTTAAAAAATATTTTCCTTAACAACGATAGCTTGTATCATCTGAAATAATTAGTTAGTAGAAATTATTTTCATTATAGATAAACGATTTATGTCTCAATATTTTTGTAAACGATGAAAATATTTTTCGTTTATTCATTTTTGTAAGTGATACAAATGATCGTTTTCATGAAAATGTTTTCTCAATAATTCATTTCTACGAAATAAACATAAACTTAATAAGTAACTTTCGTTATGCTCGGTAACTTTAATGTGAGTAGTAAGTTTTCATATATTAATGATAGGATCTTGCTTGGGGCACTTGTAATGAATATCACAAAAATAATCAATATGTTGAAAATTACAATATCTTTTTATTTAGTTATTTGCTTGATGCCCTTTTAGTATTTATTGACATTAATAAACGATTTAGTAATTTTTGAACCCATTGAAGTAAATGTATTCATAAATAAAATTCCAAATAAGAGCCTAAAGTATTCTTATTTTCTCAAATAAGGACATGAAATGAATCTTGTTTCGAATAAGAGCCTAAAATTTCCTCATTTTCTCAAATAAGAGTATAAAGTGAACATTATTTCAAATAAGAATATAAAGTAATCATGTCAATCTCAAAGAAGAATTTGACTTCACCGACTGATTAAAGGCATTTTCATCGTTTACTTTTTTTTTCCCTTTTTTTCTTTCTTTTTTTTTTCTTTGCTTTTCGCCAATAGCGATGGCCGGCCATCAACAATACTCGGAGAGGGTCGAGCACCTGACCCTTGCCCTACTCGAGCGAGGCCACCCTTGAAAGCCATAGTCGAGGGCCAACCTCGCTTGGGCAACCCTTGTTGGCCATAGGCAAGGCTAACCATCACTAGATTTGGGCGAGGATTAGCTAGCGAGGACCTGAGCAATGCAACCCTTGCTAGGTCCTCGCTAGCGGCAGGTGAGAGCTTGCAGGCCTTTTGCCCAGGATTCAATTTTGTGTTAAAATCGAGTCCTTTTGCTAACTCTAATGGAATATGCCAACATAATTTTTAAAATATTTTAACTCTCTCATGTGGCGTCCTACGTGGCGTTAAGGTTAACTAAATCACTAAAACGACGTCGTTTTGATCGGAATCCTAATTTTTACACAAAATCTTAATTAAATTACGTTAAAATATCCAAAATATTTCCATAAAAAAGACAAACTCAAAAAAGAAAAAAAGCTAAAACTAAAAAATAGAAAAAGAAATCAAACGCGCACAAAGAAAGAAAAAACTCAGGCCCTTCTCCTGTGCCCGATCGCCAGTGAGTGACGGTGACGGCCAGCGAGCCTCGTCAACCAAAAGCGAGGGCCTAGTGGACCGGGAGAAGGCTGCGACTCCCGATTCTAGCGAGAGTCGTAGACGACCTCGCCAGCTATTGCCAACGCCTCGGGCGGTGGCCACATGCAGGAGAGCTGGCCTGTATTTTGTTTCTAAAAACTTTCAGCATGCTTAATTTTTAATCTAATTTAACTAAAATTTAAGTTAAAATTGTCCTTAGGCGAAAATGCTATTGACCGACCGGAATATTTAGCTAGTCGGCATGGTCATGCCTCTTATTTGAAATAATATTCACTTTAGACATTGATTTGAGAAAATGAGAATTCTTCGTGTTATTATTTGGAATTTTTCGTATGTCCTTGTGTCGATTACATTCTACAAAAGCTCAAGTGAAAAATCGACCGGTGCCGGTTTTCATGGTCGGGGAAAGATCCGTGCTTTTGGACACAGGGGCATAGAAACACACCGTCGACTCGTCTGTCGATCCCGGTTCCATGGTAGCCCGCCGGCGAAAGGACTCTCCGGAGCAGTTCGTCTGATGGGATTCCAGCGAATGAAGTCCGCCTTCGTTAGCATCGACATGTTCCAGTGTAGCGCTTCGTGTGGATAGGTTCAAAGAATGCTGCCCAGGAATCATCACCGCTTGGCGGGTCTCTCTCGGTTGCGCAGTGGCATTGCACGCCATGATCGTTTGTGGGTACTACGCCCATTGGCCTGTGCATCGACCTCGTCCGAAACTCCTGCTTCTCCTCGCGTTCCCGGTCGGGATTCCGCTGTCCGGCCTCGGGGAAAGGATGGTTTTGATGGGTTCGATTCGTTTGAAAGGATGATGGGTCGCGGCGGCGTCGGTGATGAAGCGTTTGCACGCACGCCAGGTGACTGTGGATATGACACTAAGCCTGACTTCGGAAATTTTCAGGTGGGCGAAGAGTCGAGCGGTGACGAAGCAGAGGAAAGTGTTGGCTCGGAAGAGGAGGATTGTTTTCCGGTGGTGAAACCGCTCAATTTGAAGAATGGACGGAGTGATTTCATTCGAAGTATTGAAGAATGTGGAGATGAATTGAGACACCCTTTGGTGAGGGAAGTTTGTAGGCTAGTTCAGCTTCAGTCAGTTTGGAACCCGGACCTTGAAGGTGAGCTGAGGCATCTATTGAGGAGCCTCAAGCCGAGGCAAGTGTGCGCCGTGCTTCGCGCGCAGGAGGATGAACGGGTTGCCTTGAAGTTCTTCTACTGGGCCGATCGACAGTGGCGGTACCGGCATGATCCTATCGTGTATTATACGATGTTGGGGATCTTGAGCAAGACCAAATTGTGCCAAGGCGCTAGGAGAATTATCCGGCTCATGCGCCGAAGGCGCATCGTGCGTGAGCCTGAAGCTTTTGGATATCTCATGCTGTCCTACAGTAGGGCAGGCCAGTTAAGGCGCGCCTTGCAGGTTCTGACGTTGATGCAGAAGGCAGGTGTTGAACCTAATTTATCAATATGCAACGTGGCAATGAATGTCCTCACAAGGGCTAACAGGCTTGAAAAGGCATTTAAGTTCATGGAGAGAATGCAACTTGTTGGAATTACGCCAAATGTGGTTACTTATAATTGTTTAATCATGGGTTACTGTGATTTGCATCGTGTCGACGATGCCATTGAGCTGCTTGATGGAATGCCTGCGAAGGGTTGTCCTCCAGATAAGGTCAGTTACTATACTGTCATGGATTTTCTATGTAAAGAAAAAAGGGTTGAAGAAGTGAGGGAGATGTTGCAGAAAATGGTAAGGGACAGCAATTTATTACCGGACCAGGTTACTTATGATCATCTAGTCCATGTGCTTGCCAAGCATGGTCATGGAGACGAGGCTCTTGAATTTGTGAGGGAAGCAGAACAGAGAGGCTTTCAGATTGATAAAGTAGGGCATAGTGCCATAGTCGATTCATTCTGTAAAGAGGGGAACCTAGATAAGGCAAAGGAAATAGTGAATGAGATGTTATTGAAGGGTTGCTTGCCAGATGTGGTGACATATACCTCTGTTATTGATGGGTTTTGTCGAGTAGGTAAAGTAGATCAAGCTAGAAAGCTGCTGAAGCAGATGGAAAAGCATGGCTGCAAGCCAAACACTGTATCTTATACAGCCTTGTTAACTGGGCTCTGTCGAAGTGGTAAGTCTTCAGAAGCTAGAGAAATGATGGACACGAGCGAAGAGAACTGGTGGAGTCCTAATGCCATTACTTACAGTGTGGTGATGCACGGGCTGCGCAGGGAGGGAAAGTTGTCAGAGGCCAGTGAGGTAGCTCGAGAGATGGTGAAGAAGGGATTCTTTCCCACTCCTGTTGAAATTAACTTACTTCTTCAGTCTCTCTGCGAGAAGGGAAAAGTGGACGAGGCTAAAAGGTTCATGGAAGAATGTTCAAAGAAAGGGTGTGCTGTTAATGTTGTGAACTTTACCACCGTAATTCATGGGTACTGTCAGACAGATAATTTGGATGCGGCTCTATCTTTGCTCGATGACATGTACCTCAGCAACAGACATGCTGATGTATTCACATATACGACACTCATAGATGCATTGGGGAAGAAGGGAAGAATTGAAGAGGCAACCGACCTTGTCATGAAGATGCTGAAGAAGGGTTTGCTTCCTACTCCAGTTACATACAGGACAGTCATACACCGTTATTGTGAAAGGGGTCAGGTGGAAGATTTGTTAAAGTTGTTGGAAAAGATGCTTTTAAGGCAAAAGTTCAGAATAGCATACAATCAAGTCATTGAGAAGCTTTGTAATTTTGGAAACTTAGAGGCAGCTGAAAAGCTTCTGGGTAAGGTTCTGAGAACAGCTTCTCGTATTGATGCCAATACATGCCATGTCTTAATGGAGAGTTATTTGAGCAAGGGGATCCCTCTGTCAGCATACAAAGTTGCATGCAAAATGTTTCGGCGGAGTCTGATTCCTGATTTAAAACTGTGTGAGAGAGTGACCAAAGGACTTATGTCAGAAGGCAAACTGGAGGAGGCAGATAAGCTTATGTTACTCTTTGTGGAACGTGGACACATCGTGCCTCAGAGTTGAAAGCACTACTAATCCTGTGAAGCATCCTTCTACACTGAAATGCAGTTGATACCACCCAATTATTACCTTTCTTCTGATGGGCTTGGAGTATGGTATGTCCCTGAAATTATTGTCATCTTTTCCTCTGCATTATGGTAGAACTTTCTATTGGACCTCTACTTTTTTCTCCATTAAAAGTTTTACTGATTGTTTTTGCTCATGGCATTCTGTCAATTATGCTGTCTAGCAGCCTATTTTGGGGCTTTTGCCCCTAATTTACCTATCATTTCTGGACCTGGTTATATGTTGCCACTTACAGACTGTCATTTGACACAAGTTTGAAATTAACAAGCGAACCCCACATCATCATGCCATCAAGCTAGCAATCTAGGGGCTTATTTTGTGTGTTTTTCCTGGAAACACTAAAGATAGAACTCGTTTGAGCATAAAGGCCCAACCTGGAAGTAGGGAACTAAATATTGTTTGTGCATCACTCTAAGATTGGCGACTTGAATGGGAGCCATATTAGGACATAGGATGGAGTAGTTAGGTGCTGTTCTGACATGGTTACAACATAGAACTTTAATACTCTGATCTAGAGTAGACAAACGATGATACGAGGAGAGATTGTGTGTGGCTGTCAAGTTGGTAATGATGATTGCCTAAAGAAGCAGTGGTTTTATTGGATTGCCCTATGCCTGAACATGTAGCGTGTCTTCTAAGCTGTTCTGTGGTCCTGTTTCCCATTACATTTAGGTCACTGTACAACATCAGCCTGTTGAAATTATACCATCGCAATTGTCATAGTCATTTCTTTGAACACAGAAAAGTATTGATGGTTGCATGGATGATGATGGTGAACTGTTTATGTGCTGATACTGAAAAACATGGTGTTATCCTTCTTTCTGAGCTTGTTCTTACTTTCTTATAGAAGGATGCCCGTTCAGACTAGATGCAAGATCAGAAGTACAGAATGTGAGATGTAGCCGGTGACTGTCATGATCGTAATTTCCTGTTTCCGGCAGAGACATGGAAGTATGTTGGTTAACACTATTGCAATAGACTAGAGGATAATACCAACGGGTGGGTGATCAATCTTCCCCTTAGTCAGCTTGTTATCTGTTTATTGTGCTATAAACTCAAATCTCTTTTTCTGATCTAAATAACAGATAAACATTTAAAGACTCTAAATCAGATCGACTGGAAGTAGATTTTTTTTTCTTATGAAGGTTTTTAATTCATTATGATACTATTATTGTTCTTTGTTTGAATCTTGCCTAATATGCAATAAATGTGAGTTCTCTACCGCAACTCATAGGATGATGACTTGAACCAGAAAAGTCTCCACATTATAGTGTTATAATTTCCCATCCTCACAGGGAATCCTAATAAGAAATTGGCTATTGCTTCTTTACTTCCAACTGGAAACTCATCTGCACTTCTACTTAGACCCAAATCTCATATATTTCTACATGGATTTTCAATTGGCAGCTAGGTCAGAGGGTAGTTATGAGCATAACCCTCTTGCCTTACTTACCTGCTATTGGTGGGATTTGCTTGATCTTGTGACCATGCTTTTTTTTAAGGATCATGAAGTAGTTGAAATCATAACATGCTCCTTATTCAACTCTGATTTTCATATCTGTTAATGAATTTCTTAGGACTAAATAGAAAAGGAGCTGCAGGAAGTTTGAGGGGCGGTTTATTAGCAAGAAAATTCATGTGAGCATGACAATAGATATCTTGACGCATTCACTATTATACATCTCATCCGCAGCATTAATGGTATCAAATTAATTTTTCGGCAACTCAGATTAGAGTGCTTGAAGATGGCCTTAATCCGAATGGTGACATTTAAGGAAGTCATACACCTGCCTTTAGTGCTTCATTAAAATGGTCAATAGAAAAAGTAGGCTTTAGTTTCGCTACAGCCTGACACTCAAGTATACCAAAGCCAGTAAAAATATTTTAGTGTCGTGTTTCTTTTTGTCCACCAATTGACATCATGAGCTAACTATAAGATTTCTCTCCTCTTAACAAGTAGCTTACATGCATTTTTGTTTGTGGTTCTGGAAATTGATTTTTTCTCTCAAGGAGGTGGTCAATGAGGACCTATTTGGTCAATTGTGGTGAATTTAACTATGTATATGTCATTGTCATGAAGTCGTCAAATAGTCACTAATTTGCTACTCAAACCGCCTCTTAACTGATCTACCTTCAGCTTTATGTGTAGGAACTTCTGGTGAGCTTATTTGTAATTTGAAGGCTACTCAGGTTCAAGAATGGGCAGGACAGGTGTATTCTTTGCATGTTGACGAGTCATGCACTCGCAGAAGATAGTCTTTTGCATAATTGATGATTCAAAATCCCGACTCACAATTTCCAGTGTCAGGTCTTCTCCAGTCATTACAGCTAAGAATACGACTGTCGGCATTTTCCTCGCTTTTGCGATGCAGACAATCAGCAACTGGGTATTTTTCATGTCTTTGATGATTTTCTGCAGCAAAAGAAAATCTTTACAATTGCCTCTGTCTGGATCTGGGGCTTGGACCAATCACGGGAGATGGGATTTCTATCTGTTTCTGCCTGAACTGTTATGCAGAAGCGACTTCAGATTGATTCTTCACGAGTTTCAAGCTCAATGTTTGGCACTCTTTTGCAAGACGGTGATGAATTGCGAAGACAGACTATGCAGGACTTTTGTGGAGGTACATGTAATTTTCAGAAGCAACTGATTATTTTATGCACTGAAGCATACTGCTTTAGGGAATTCATTATTATCGTTTTAAACAATATGATGTCAGTGGGAATCGCGCAAATAAATGAGAGATAGAGAGATATTATATTGGCTGAGAATCGGCATAACTCAATGTCTTCCTGCAGCACTTCGCCGTTGGAATTCTAAAATACTCATCACTGATGTGAATAGTTGTATTGTGTTCTTAATCTGATGTCTTGTCATCTTTTTAAAAAAAAAATAAAAATTGGAGGGCCTGCACATGCATCCTAACAGAGTAGGTCTCATTGCTGTCACCAATGTCTAAAGTCAGTCTACCGCTACACAAGCACCAAATATAGAAAGAAAAACATGATTTCTTTAGAAGAATGTAATTTTGCTTTCATTGATATGCCATCTGCGTCCATTAATTCACAAGGGATTCAATGCAGACGTGTGAATTCTTTGATTCCAGTTCTTTAAATTTCTTGCTTATCTTCTTTAATCTCGATCAAACACCTCAATGCGGGCTTCTTGCCACCTGGAGCAATCCTCTATCTAGGGGTTACAGGGATTACGAAAATGGATAAATATTTGACATTAAACTGATACTAGAGCTATAAAAAAATCTGTAGTAGAGAGATTCCGACAAATATCCTTGCATAGTTGCATTTGGAATCTCATGTCTCAGGATAGTTCGACACTAGGGATTAAGACATCTTGATCATGCGCTTTTGCCAATCTTGCACTATTGCCAAAAGTTGAGAAAATTACCAAAACAGTCCTAAACCTATTGCAATTGTGCCAATTCAGTCCTAAACCTTATATATTTGTACCAGTTTAGTCCATTCGGCCAATTTTGGCCGGCCGACGCTGACGTGACATTTTTAAAATATATTTTTTTCGATTTTTTTTTCCATTTCTTCTTCCCCTGGCAGGTCCAGCGACCGGCCAGGGGCTAGGGCCGACGACACTAGTCGTCGGCCACTGGTGAAGCTCGCCCTCACCTCGCCGCCCAGATCTGTGGCGACGGCGAGGTCGAGCAACCATGGCGAGGCCGCTCGACCTTGCCCAAACTTGGGGGAGGCCGAGCGGCCTTGCCATGGCTGCTGCTCGGCTGACCTTGCCCGCGACGGCGAGCCTCACCAGTGGCTGGCGACCGGCCAGGGGAAGAAGAAAAGGAAAAAAAATAAAAAAATTTCGAAAAAAATATATTTAAACATGCCACGTCAGCGTCGGCCGGCGTCAACGTCAGCGCCGGTCAGCCAAAATTGGCCCGATTGACCGAACTGGCACAACTACAAAAGGTTCAGGACTGAATTGGCAAAAAATAAAGGTTTAGGACTGAATTGACACAATTGCAATAGGTTTAGAACTGCTTTGGTAATTTTCCCGCCAAAAGTTCAATCTAGTATGATCAAAAAAATTTCTTTAATTGGTCCTTGAACTATAAGGTTTTATAACCTTGATCCTTCTAGATCCTTCTACTGAAGAGCATAATGAAACATTGATTTGAAAATTAGATTTCCGTAACGTGTCACATCCTACATGGCAAATAAAACTTAAAGAAAAGCAAAAACAGAATCGAAAGATATTATTCGCGAAATTGTAAAAAAGCAAAGTAAGAACAACTAAGAGAGAGAAGGGCTAGGTGAGGTCAGGTGGCATGATCTCTAGCTAGGGTCAACCCTCGCCGTTGAGAGCAATGAGGGTGGCGACCCCCCCGCTACTCAGGGCAGCAAAGGATCGCGACCCTCGCCACTCATGGCAGTGGGCCCGTGACTCTCACCCCTTGTCTCAAGTTCTCTCGATCCTGCAAAACACAATCCAAGTTCTACCGTTTGCAGATACAGCAGAATTCGTTTTCCCAGTATGCGACGCCACAAGCATGCTGATTATTGTTTTTATGACAAGCCAACGATTAGGCAAAAGCAAGTGAGACACCCAGATATGAGCAAACGATTAGGCAAAAGTCTGGAGATACAATACTGACTTACGTACAGTTAATGGCCAGACGAGGATGAGTTCTAACTGGAATCCACGCTCAACTATTATTCTTTACTTGCAGTTGTGCTAAATCATGAAACCAAATTGAAGTTGCGTTTGCCAACTGTCGAGACAAGATGCCACGAGAAAACACCAAACATGTCATAGGCAAAATTCGAAAATTCACTACTCAGCCACTTGATAACGGACTAAACTTTCTTTATGCTGGCTCAGAGACTGAAGTGAGCCATGCACATGCGGGTAAAATAGCAGAGCACTACAGCAAATGATTAAGGGAGCTTGTGTTATACTAAAGGACATTAGTTCAAATCCTACTCTCTAATTGGGGTCTATTATACAATGAACAATTTCCTATGCAGATGATTATTAGGACACATTGGATAAATTAAAAGAATATTGATGAACAAGAGGGCAAAATTACCCCCCACCTTTCAAGGAATGATTACAAAAAGATCAAAACCTCCCCTATGCCGTGTTCATTATTGAAGAAGAACGAGCCCCCTGCATCATTTGTTTCTTGTAATGACTATATGTGTGAGGTCTATGAGTGCTCGCCTTGATTTCCGGACATCCTCATCGTCGCTCTCAGGAAGAGAGTCAATTGCTGTAGCGGCAAGTTCTGCATGCTTTTTGGCTAGTTCCCTTGCCCTCTGTATTCCACGGCTCCTTCCGAGATACTCAAGAGCCTGCGATTTCAGAAAAGAGTCGACTACATTTGTAACCAAATCATCTCACACAAAATCCACTGATCAGAACATGTTCTGCAGATAAGAGGGGAAAAAATATTGCTAGGTTTGAAACATTTCAAGGTAACCTTAAAATGCCGAACACTTTTGATTGCATGCGATACGAACTAGATGGTAAAGAAGAATAGTTAGTTGACCAAGATAGGCATCGCAAAAGAGCTTGATTGAGGAGGAAGCAGTACCAACTAAACCCTGAGTTTGACCAAGCTGGCTTCATTGCAATCACAAATGAGGACAGAAGCATCCCATTAGGTCATTTATGCAAATGGGAAGTGCTTTTTAGTTTGCTTCTCAGTCAAACATTGCTTGTGCCACAGATTAGCCCTTAAGAGCAAATAAAAAAAATAACGAAGATAAACAGTGAAATGACAACATAATTCAATCTCAAAGCCGCAAGGACAAAAAAAGTTCAATTTAAAATAGGATACAAAATAATTCACCACTAAATGAGGATGTAACCTGTGCTCCGACAAAAGCTTCAACCCTATCTTACTAGTAATGACATCCAATCTAAGTGCTCTCTTTTCTTCCCCCTCCAATTTAGGCTTGTCATGCTTTAGCAGCGAAAAAAGCTGCCATCACTAACCTCGCCAGCTCAAAAGGCTGATATTGTTGTAGCAGTCACAAGAAAATGATATGAACATGCATCAACTCTAGATCTGAGATTGCTCAATTAGCTAGTTGATGGGCAATCAGCGTCACTTACAAGATCAACATTTGCCGAGTCATCAAAGCCCCGGTCAACAACTGTGCGTAACTGGGGAAACTCCTCCATGGCAAACAAGATTGGAGCTGTTACGATTCCCTGCACAAATAATAGAAATTGCAGTTGTCACGAATATTCTTATCCACTTGTGCACAAATTCAGAAAAAGAGTAGGTATGTTATGTTTGGTTTGGACAATTGGCAAGCAGGCCACTTAAACACAACCAAGAGGAATACTTCCGCACTATTATCTTGTAGCTCTTAATATAAGTTAAAAATCATGAGAACAAAAAATGACGCGACCCAGTCAAATAGGAACATCAAACTAAAATCAGGCAAAAGACTCAACCAAACATTTATAAAGATAGCAAATATAATTCTGGAGCAGTTCAAGTACCCAGCAATGTGTATGGAAATCACCACCTCATTTAGTCAAATGCTATCACATGACGACAACATACTATCCAGGAAAATATTCCAGGGACATCTTTGTTTCCTACCAAAGAATTCTGCAAATGATACCACTAAGATATTGCAAAACTGCTTCTCAATTAGTTATTAGATGACATTAGGAAACAATTACCAGTTATGCGAAATTGTTTCCTCATAATATTGCTCCAGTGTTGTTTTGACCAGAGCAGAAAGACTGTGTGGATGCATGAAACAATTACTTTCATAAATTCAAGCATAAGATTTACCAGCAGAGAAAATTATCATCTGCTGAACTACTATCAGATTTGACCAAAACAACAAAAAAACCTAGTATCAGATTAACTGGGATAAATAACAAAGCAATCTATCTAATAAGTATAATAGCACAAAAAGTGACTCTCCATCCAGTTCAATCCTAGAACCATGAAGTTTCACAATGAGTACAGCTTACATGGCGAATGTCAGATAAAGAACCCTTCCCCAAGGATGCTGATGTCCCAGTGAAATCGAGAACATCGTCTATCAATTGAAATGCCAAACCCTGGGAACAGAAAAGACAAATAAGAAATTTGAATACTGAGGAAACTAAACAGTTATGTGCCTATTTCCTATATATAAGGTATTTCCAGGCAACATGCATGTCGGTTGTGATTGAAGCATATTCTAGAAATACTTATTAATCGAACATAAAGTATTTGCAACGTGGATCAAAGACAAAGGATTTCCAAGCAGATTTAGGACCTGATGCTTATACCAACAAAACAAAGGCCAGATGGGGAACTGCTGATTGCAATTCATGTCAACTCAACAGAAGGAGCCATTTATTATCCTACATAATTACCATTGCATAACAATAACCTAAGAACTACTCCACGTGATAGGAGCGTAAGATTTGGATTGATTTCCTTTTAATAGGCGTGATATCACTTAGATTGGATATCACTTTAGACAGGCACCATACATATATGATTTTGTAGATATATTTTGCTGCCTCCCATATTGCATCAACTAATGATGACATTTCATCAAGTGCTAGCTATATTATAAGTTAATGCTATTTTTGCATTTTCCAGTTATGACTGACAAGGAGTGTAACCTATAAAGTAATCAACTGCAGTTGTTATCAATACAACATCTATGTATATAGAAGTCTACAAATTAAGCTTATAGTAGAGGACAAACCAGGTTTCTGCCATACTCGTAAGCCAGCACGGTGACTTCTGTTGTTTGTCCAGCAAGAATAGCAATAG